TAAAAAAATTGACCAGACTTATAATCAATGCTGGTTAACTTGATCAAATAGCGAATTGCCGAAATTTTATTTTTTATCTTAATTTACGATATTTCAATTTAAGGAATTTTGCCTAACATTACGGACTGACCCATATTTTATATAAAAAAAACCCCTGCAGTTAATACATAATAAAGTTATTTTAGCCAGTTTGGCCGAAGACCCTTCGATAATTGACCAGCAAATTTTTAGTTGATCAATGAATGATTTGAACAACCTTGTCAAAATATATAAACTATACTTATATCATTTACATCATTAAATAAACGTGTTAAAAAAAAAATATGGACGAAATATTTTTGGTAGCTAAACACTACACCGAAAAATTCAGTGATGTTTTTTTTGTTTTATTAATGAAACGTTACATTCTCAACTAAACCTTAAATTTTAACGATTATTGATCACCATCTGTGTACTTGTATATATATCTACAATAGATATTAAAAAAAGTTGCTTGCAATCGAATACTAAAGTATTAACATATTTTAAAATTGTTCATAATGTAAAAAAAAAAAAATTATACTATTAATGTATAATAATTAAGTAATAAACAATAATAATAATTTGTTTTCTTAATGTAATAAATTTGCTATATTATTTTTAACGATTTCCGGAAAATTTCTATGTTCTAATATATTAGCAACTTCTTTAGCTTTTTCAATTTGTCCATTAATAACATATGCTTTTACCATCTCTTCATACGTACTTGGTTCCCTTGGTACATTTTCACTATTTAAATCATCAGAATCTTTCATATTATTAAACACAGTTTCAGAACGTTCCCATTGCCCTAATTGCCCATAACCTCGAATAAATAAATTTTCAATATATGCAGTAGATTTGACATCACCTTGCATTAACATAACATCGTAATATTCTTCTGCTTCTACAATACGATCATTAGCAATTAAAGCATCAAATAATGCTTGATATGTATTTTGATCTGGTCGAATATTGTAAGTAGTTTGCATAGCATTAAATGTTTTAAGTGCATTCTGTACATCTCGATGACAACATCCATAAGCATAAATAAGGGAAGCGTAATGTGTTGGTTGTGGCGTAACACCTTCTCGTTTCATTTGTTCAAATACATTTAAAGCCGATTTCATATCATAAGGTTCAATAGTTGCATATGCATCAATCAACAATTTATATGTATGATCAGAAGGTCTTAAATTATGTCGATTAATTTCACCAAAATATTTAAGAGCTTTATCTCTATCATGAAGATCCCAAGTATAAAATTGCATTAATGTATTATAAGGACCAATACGTGGTTGAAAAGAGTATGAATGTTCCATTTCTCTTAATACCATTAAAGCTTTATCTTCAGATTTTACACGAGTACAAGCGGTGATTAAAGCACCATAAGTAATAGAATTTGGTTGAATTCTACGTCTTTTCATATCTTTAAAAGCTTCCCAAACTGCATCATATTTTCGAGCTTTTCCAAGTTTACTAATTAATACATTATAAAAATAAAGTGTTGGTTTTATATTATAACGTTTTATTTCATCATATAATTTTATGGCTGTGGCAGCTTCATCAGGATCTCTTTCACTTTCGGCAACCAAAAGATCAGCATATGCATTAGCATCTGGTTGATATCCAAGTGCAAAAATTTCATTATAAATTTGATACGCCTTATCCAATTGACTATTACTAGCATAAGCTATAAGCATACTATTACGTGCCCAATTTAATCCATTAATACATACTGATGGATCCAATTTTTTAAAGAATTCTAATGAAAGTTGATATAATTCTTCAGCTTCTTTTACATTCTTACTTTTTCCTAAATTTCTAATTGCTTGACTAACTAATTCAGGTGTAGGTATTAAATCTTCTTTAAGCATTTTATGAAATTCATTTAATAAAAGAATAGGATCAATTTCATGAGTTTTACATAATTGTGATATTTCCGAAGATCGATTAATTTCTTCAATAGTAGGTTGACGAAGAGTTTTTTGTGAAGAATCTTTTATAATAGAATCTTTAGTGGTTAAAACTACAGAAGCAATTTCTTTCCATTTTTCAGCACCTTCGAGATCACCAGCTTCCATATAATGATGATGAACTTTCGTAAAAGTTCTATATGGTAAAGTAATTTCAGATAATTTTAAATCTTCTACAAGTTCAAATACTCTCTTATTAAATTCATTCTTTGCTATATGTAAATTATATAAAGAAGTTGCGTTATCAAAAAGTGCAAATATATGATGATTATCAAGTTCTTTCAAACTTGATATTATATCATAATTATTTTTAATTTCATCATATTTCGTGAATATGACCTTATTAAAATTTGGTATTTTAATATAACCATAATCTAAAAGTTGAAATTTTGCATCAATAACGCTTTTAAGAGAAAGAAGAGGATCATTCAATAAAGATATAATATAATCATCCAAAGATATTGCAGGATTATTCGATCTATTAGATGAACTATTCGCATGATGATCTGTAAGAGCTTTAATCTTGATAAGAGCAGTAAGAGCTTTTTCAGGTTTTTGATCTTTAACGAAATGATTCATAATATTTCTTGTTAAATTTAAATCAGTAACTAAATAACCTTTATACATATCATCCAATAAATTTAAAACTCTATCAGGATCATTCTTAAGAGTTAAATGTAAATATAAAGACATTTCTGAATAACGAGGACATAAATTTATATCTTTCATTTCTTGATAAATTTTTGTTGCATTTGAATAATCACCAATTAAAGAATAGTGCATCAACATAGTATCGTAAATCAAATTAAATGGATTTGGTAATGAATCAAGATTTTTCATCTTATCAAACCATTCTTGAGCTAATTCAGTCTTATTACTATCACATAAATCTCTAATAAGGTAAAAATAACTCCATTCATCAGGAATAAGACCATTTTCTGGAGCATCTTTTTCTAAAATATTAATAGCACCTTTAACATTATCACAACGAACATAAGCCGAAATCATTTGATTATATACAGCAAATGGTTCATGTTTTCCAGTTAAAGTTGGAGCCACTTTTTTATATTCTTTAAAACATTCCATAGAACTTTCTAAATCACCAACATGACTATACATAGATATTAAATAACCAAAAGTATAAGGAGATACTATTCCACGTTTTTCCATATATTCAAAAACAGTTAAACCTTCATCAATTCTACCATAAGGAGCAAGAGAACGTAATAAAGCATCACATAAATCAGCTTCATAATAATAACCATGAATATGTATACTTTTTTTAAAAAGTTGAAAAGCCAAATCGATACAATTTTCTTTTTCAAGAGATTCAATTAATTTCAAATTAACTCCAATATTTGCTCTTTTTTTTAAACGATATAATTTTGTTTGAATTTCAAGATCTCTTTTACATAAAGTTTTGATCATTATGTTATAAGTTGATAAATTAGGTTTTACATTATCACGAATCATTTCATCATAATATTGAATTAATTTATCCAAATTATTATTTTCATTTCGAAATCCAGCGACAGTATCGAGAATTAAATTGTAGGTAAATGTAGTTGGTTGTACACCAGATCTTTTCATTTCTTCAAAACTTCGTTCAACTTCTCGTGGAAGTCCTCTTTGTTTTAATAACATTAATAGATCATTATATTCTCTAATAAAAAGTTGTTCTTGCCTAAGATCTAGTGGTTTTTGTTGTTGTTGTTGTTGTTGTTGTTGTTGTATACCAGAATCTGAACTACCACTTATTCCATTATTAAAAAGTTCAGACTGATTTGAAAAGGAAGAAGTTGAAGCACCATTAGTATTACTGTAAGGTCTTCGACTCATATTAGGTGAAGTCTTAGCACCTCTATTCGAAAAACCACTAGTTGCATGATGTCCTAATACGGTAGTACTACTTTTTGCACCTAGTAAATTACGAGCAGTTTGTCGTGCAATAGCTACTAACGCAGTATTCGTTTTAATATGTTGCATTTTCTTCGTTCCAGTATTTTTTTTAGTATTTTCAGTATTTTCAGTTATGTTCAGTTATGTTCAAAGTTTGATTACTAGAATCGGTAGTTTTTTTTTTTTTTTTTATTATAGTTAGATTAAAGATCAGTGATGAACAATAATTGATAATAATTTTGATTATTATTTTTTTTTTTTTTACCATGATCACTTGATTATACATATCTGATCACAAAAAAGTCGAATGACTCAAAATTACAATCGCAAGGGGGAAAGGATTCTAACTACGTAGCCCTGACGCATTGTGTAATCATAAATGCATAGTTTGCCAAAACTCAAAAATTTTAAAACTTGATACACAAAAAGTTAATATTGATATGTACGTACGCCCAGTATTTTTTTTTTTTAATGTTATATATATTAATTGGTTAAACAAAATTCTGATACGTTCGTAAAATATTATTCATATGGTTAATTTTAATATTGTACTTTTACATATAAATTTGTTACGTACTGTAGATTACTCTCTAGCATTTATCTAATTAATGCATTGTTCACTTATTGAACGTAAAAAATGGGCTAGCTTTTGATAAATACATAACATTAATGCTGTAATGATTAATAAATAAAAGTAGAGAGAATGAAATGCAATCATAAAGAGATAGAAAGAATTTTCAGACTGGTGAAAAATAATTTCTTAATAATCGATAAATCATAGATCACATAAATCATAAATCAATCAATCAATTTAAGAAAAATTTTTTTATTCATTGACAGAGAACCCATTTTATTGGCAAGAAATTCAAACTTTCCCCGGATATTTTTTAAGAATCACATTTCCTATTACATAGATAAGAATCAATGTGATATTTTATACGTAATTGGTGATAATAGTCACATGATACTATAATGAACGTTTTTTTTTTCTTTTTTTTTTTAAAAAAAAAAAAATTAGGGCAGCGGATCGGCTCAGCTTGGAATTTCTCGGCTCATAAATGGCAAGGATCTATCCTATAATGATAGAGCCAATGAAAACGAAACAATTTAGTTAACATAAGCCGTTAGTCGAGCCAAGCCAGCCATTTGCATCTCTGCGCCCGCTTGCCAATCTTCTTTTCTCTCCTTCTAGCTAAAATGAGATAAAATAAAATAAAATGAAATGAATTGATAAATAACTGAATGAACGAATATACAATAGTAAATCAAGAAAAAAAAGGAGTTAATGACGCATACCACTTTTCGAACTCTTGCCAATAATTCTGTCGAGCCTAAATTTGCTTTACAATTTTCTATATCATATGGTGGATTGATAATCACCTCATCTAGAACTATAATTGATTCTTTATGCCACCTACATGGTAATCTAATAATGATATAAATATAATGATATAAATAATGATATTAAATAATGTGATCAAAAAATATATATAAATATGTTATCAAAAATCTATATGAAAAGATATGTAAATATATATTATTAACATTTACTCACGTCTTGCTCATTGCATCAAAAATATCCTGAGCTTCTTGTGTCACACCCACACCAATTTTTGCCAACGCAACTTGTGTATCCTTAATTGATTGTAATTCCTTGGCCTGAATCCTATCCATTTGTACATAACCCACTGAAGGAACGATAGTAGAAAAAACATTATTGGTCGTACTACTATTATTACTATTATTATTATTATTACTACTACTACCACTAGATTGACCATTTGTTTGTTGGGAAGAATTTGTAGTAGAAGAATTAATGTTCGCATTGATATCAACAGAAGATTTACGATTATGGAGTTGGGTCACATCTTTAAGAAAGTTAATTTTTAAAATTCGAAAATCGTATTTCTGAGATCCACCAGAATTGGTACCTGGAGGTATTACACTCGGGCATTGTTTAAAAAAAAAAATATTATCGAATTATCGAAATCAAGGAATTAAGGAATCATTAAATCAATTTAAAAAACAAAAGATCAAATTTTTTTATAAAATTTTTTTCATGAAGAGTAAAGAATGAAAGAAAAGGATATGAAGTACAACACAATTTAACTTTGGATCATAGGCATAAATCTGACCTTCATACTCGTCATCAGTCGAAGTTTTCACTCGGATAGAAAGACCAAGCATCCATTCCAGACCTTTTTGTTGCTGAGAATCTCTGTTATCTACAACAGAACCATTACTATTAGCGTTTGTAACGGAGTTAGTATTATTACTTGGGTTATTAGAATTGACGCGTTGACTGACATTGTCAGATGGAGTGCGAGTTGGGGTATGAGCGTTATGTTTAGAGCGTTGCATTTCGGCTTACTCTGTTACGGTTAACGTAGTGGTAAGTAAGTAAAGTGAATGTTATTTATTAGTGATTATGTCACTACTTTTAGTGTATTTTTTTTTATTTTTTTTTTTTTAGCCTTGCTTTTTCGGATTTGAAAAAGCCACAAGTGAAAGTATAATACTGTGAAAGTATAATACTGTAATAGTTTAATGGATAACGGTAATGACCAATATCGATATCAATATGACGGCACCAAGTCGTACAGGAACAACTCACGTGATTCAATTGTTTTACTTAAAAAAAAAAAAAAAAAACCGCGAACACTCAAATGAATATTAAATTTATATTATGTTACAAAAGAATACTAATTACATGTATGCTTAGGGTTTATCCTATCGCTATTGATTACAAATGTCTTTTTCCTATATATGATAAAGTTTTAAAACTTAAATTTCGAATAACCCCTATCTTTATCTATCAAAGTATGTAAATGCGCAAAATATATTACAAATGAATAAACTATCACGCGTCACTAAGACAGCACTAAAGAATATTTACTAGATCAATTAATTTGTTGCATCTCTTTTTTTTTTTTTTTTTCTTTTTATACGAGTTGCTTACCTGAATTAAGCTGAATTATAATGAATTTATGAATTGATTAAAATGCAAATTTCCGGGATGCTATATGAGTTGAATTAGAAAAAAATAATAAAAAAAAAAATATAAAAAATAAAATAAAAAGAAAAAAAAATATATACTATAAAAATGAAAGAAAATTAAGGAGTGTAAAGGGGAATTAGAAAAGGAGTAAGGGTTGAATTCCGTAAAAAAAAAAAAAAATTGTCCAGAATAAAAAAGGATAAGATAGTTCATTGCCAGGGTCAAGAGTGAATGTATATCACTCGAGTTTCAAATAGCATTGACTAATGAAGAATTAAATCTTACATAATGTACGTGTTTTATTGTATTGAGCATCTCTTTTTTTTTCTACTATATCGTCGTGTGGGAGATTGCCGATTTATCTGGCGAACTAAATCATAAAAGACTTCATCTACATGAATCCGATGTCTAGCAGAAGTCTCGTAAAAGGCAGTGTGACCCCAAGTTTGGGAAAGTGCAAGACCTTGTTTTTTAGTAACCATTCTATCTTTTTCAAGATCACATTTGTTACCAACCAATACCATTGGAACCTATTAATCATATAAATCATATTATTCATATTTAAATTGAAATAAAAATAAAATAAATAAAAGGTAAATAAATTATAATAAATTACCGCATCTGAACCTTTTACTTTTATAATTTGGTCCCTTAACTCCGCTAACTCATTTATTGTTGATTGTTCGGTGATCGAGAACATAAGGATGAAACCTTGGCCGTTTTTCATGTACAAATCTCTCATGGCAGCGAATTGTTCAGTCCCTGCCGTGTCGAGTATTTCCAATACGCAGAGCTGATTATCAACTTCTATCTGCTTTTTATATGAATCTTCAATTGTTGGATCATAACGTTCAATGAACATGGATTGTACAAACTGAACGGTCTAAATGAATTAAAAAAAAAAATTTGAAAATTTTTATAAAAGGTAAAAAGGTTTATGAAAGGTTAAAGTTTTAGAAATTCTAAACCAAAAAAAATAAATAAATAAATAAAAATATTGACCAATGCCGACTTGCCAACACCACCAGATCCTAAAACCACCAATTTGTATTCCCGCATCGCGGTCCCAGAAGACTTTAAACCGAAGCGGTTTATTTTTGACGATGTGGGTTGGTACGTGGCTCCGTTCTGTTTCTTTTTCCTATCACAGAGAAACACTGAGGAAAATAGGATAAAAGTAAAGAAAAGAACAGGGAATAGTGAGCTTGGCGTCGAAAAACCGCAAGGTTTTTACATCCAAATCAACAAGAATAAACGGAAAAAGAGGTATGAAATGAAAAAAAAAGAGAGGAAAAAAAAAAATTAAAGTAAATATTAGCGAGATACAAACTTGTGTCTACTTGCAATTTTGGGGAAAATTATTTTCTTGGTTGTACAATTCCCGCGTTTAGGGTATTACTAAACTATTACACGAAACTCGATGCGTAAAAACAAAGTGACGAATAACCAAATTCGAATTAGTAAGATTGAGATTACAGGTTCTCGAACTAGATTCGAAAAAACGAATGAATAAAATTTTAATTAATGGAGGACGAGATTGCTTTATATAAAAAAAATATATAAAATATATATATTTTTACGTTTACGAATCAATTAAAATAATTAAAGCATTATGTTATAAAAGTGTTACATAGCAGATAGAACTTCTTTTTTTTTTTCTTTTTTTTTTTTTTTTTACGAGAACACTGATAAACTGTAAAGACAAAAAAATCGAAAATTAAATGCGAGAAGTGCGTTTGTGGCTTCAGGTTAATTACAGAAATAGGAAAGAGATTTACACAGCATTCTGAAGATCATTTTTCGAGCAATGGTTTCGAAAAATTTTTTTTTTTGTCGACATTGAAATTTTTTAAGGTTCGACAATTGGATAAATCACTCGGACATTAGCAATTGAACAATGAATTGCCAGGAACACGTGCATATAAATTATTCGGAAATCGCCGGCACAGAATACGGATCTAGATTCAAAAAAGTACTGATAATTATTCCATAAATATAAATTATATGCATTATTTTATTATTATACATGTGTACTTAGAAAATAGAATATCCGTTAACTAAACATATTTAGAGTTTGTGAAATACATGAAAAATTCTTTTTCATGCTATGGAAAATTCAAATCCTGTGATGCTTAATTATCGCATGGTTTCACAAGTCTAAAATTGTAAAGATTAAATTAATGTCGATTAGGTATCACATAGTTGGACGAACGTATAGATGAATGTATGTATGAATGTATGTATAAATCATGTGAACTATAAACGATCCAAATTTAACAATTCATTTGACTGCATTTTGTATCATGATACACTACCTTATTCTTATCTGCGAGAAAAAAGAATTATTGATGGTTGCACATATCAGCTATAACTGCTATAACTGTTATAACTGCTATAACTGCTGTAACTGCTGTAATTGATAGTAATGTACGTAAGTACATACGTACGCACGCACGCACGTATGAGAATTTTGTAGAACTAGCACTGTTGACTAATATTACTAATGTTGACTACGTGAAGTATGTATGTATCGAGTATGTATCGAGTATGTATCGAGTATGTCTTTATGTTAACATATACAGTACATACCAAACTCTCTAGTTAACAGATACCTGGTCTTTAGTATTTCGAACGAGTAACCCGAACTTTTAGAATGCAATAAAATAAATTTATAGTCTTTCCAATTTAAACGATATTAACCGTAAAAAAGGGTAAATTTAATTATTCTTTTTTAGATTTATGGTTTAGTTTTTTTTGTAATTTTATTTTTATTAAAGTTTGACAAAATTACGTATCTGGTATAAATTTCGGATTAAATATAAATTTTCTTTAGATATAGGATTTTTTTTAAGTAACGTGATCAAAACCCAATACCGATACGTATGTATAAAGTTTCGAAAACTTTCTATATCAATATACATAACAAATAACGATAATAATACGTATTAATTATCGTTATGTGTTGTAACCATAAATTTTTCGGGCCGTTCGGTGTATGTTAATGATACCTAAGAGAGATCATTCATCCGATTGGCTGATTTTTGTCGATCTAAGTAACTACAGTCATACCTCACCCCTTTGGTTCGGAGAGATATAACCTAGGTACGACTGCATTGTCCAATCAAATAAATTAATATCGAAACTTTCAGAGATAGGTGTATCGATATACTGTATATCGATATGTACACATACTGTATATACCTACGCAAATCTACAGATCATTATCTACATGATAGACTCCATACAGTATTTATTTTATCCTCATATTTAATTAACGTTAAACAATTCTTTAAGATCCAGATCATCATCTTGAGCATCTAAATCACCTTTTTAAATAAAGTATTAGTTTGAGGATTATTTTGGCATAAATGTTCTTTCAAATGTTTTGCTAATGAAATGAGTGAAACGTTACATTCTCAATAAGTACTCTAAACTGTATAAATTAAGTTACTCCAGCAATTGATTCAGATTAAGCCATTTACAGAATTGAACCAGTTTCATCATTATTTCTGTATTTATCGTTATCGTCATGCGTTCTGGGCATTAAATCAATTATCTTTTCGTGACGTAATTTTTAATTATTTAACCATTTACTTTCTCTTACAATAATAATAACTGTAATGATAATAGTAATAATAATAGTATTAATAATAGTATTAATGATCAAAGAGATATTAATTATTGGTTCAATTTGCTGATCAAAAAAAAAATACCGTATTTTGCGGAACAATGTACCCTTCGTGCCAAATAATGCTTGTTGTATATTAATTGTTATATTTAATTTTTTGTGTAAAAAAAAATTTCATCACATAGATACTTTATTCCGTAATCCGATTTCTTAAAATTACTCCGATGTGAAAATTTCACGCCCAGATATCCAATGATTTTTTTTAGTGATTTCTTTTTGCAAACCGCAATAAATTATATTTTATTAATTTAAATTCTTTTCAATAAATTATTTACGATACTGCCTGATAAAAATAATTTCATTTATTTATATTATGCCAAGAAGAAAATAATTTAGAAACATATGTGTACTAGTTATGTCTTTTTTAATTATTTTCTTTACTTTAAATATTGACAATAAAATTACTTTTATATACTGTGATTGGTAATTTCCAGTAGTGCTAGAAAATCTAAATTTGATAATTCTCAACTTTCATTGGTTTACTTTCATCCAAACATTACATTCGAATTGCTTAGAATTATAAGTCCTTGTTACGCTTCGGACAATAATACAAGTATATTAATAATATATACCAACAAACGAAGCGCAAGATCTGACCTTCCTAAGTACATTAAAAAAAAAATTTAATTTGTGGAACTGGCTTACCTAAAATTAGCGTCTTAATTAGAATAATATCGATATTTCTGAAATTGGAATACTGTATAAAACTGATTTAACTTAGTTTAATGATCACTTAAAGTTTATCCTTATCGTTATCGTTATGCATGTTAAGTTACAAAAAGAAAACGGTTACGTACTTCTCCAAGAGCACGTTATACATGTTACTCGGGTTATATCGACATTCTTCAAAAACAGAATTTGCCCGATATGTCCAGATATCGGTTTAACCAAAGGTATTTTCATATTAAGTATACAAAGTTCCATTATAAAATTATATCCGGATATTACCAGAGTGACGTATATAAACAACATAAATTCATGTTACGTTTGAGTTACTTTAAGTTATTTCCAAATTAGTCATTTGTGTTACGTAATACTTAGTACTCATTTGTCACGTAATACTTAACGATGTAAGTATATTACTACTAACAAAATTTTGGTTTAATTTATAAAAAAATTACTTTAATACTAGCAAAATTGTATGTAAAAGGTAGTAAGAATATAAATTTTTAACAATCTATAAACACTATTCCAAAACTAAACCATAATAAAATCTTATTTTTTATTTTTATTTTTTTTTTTTCCTTAAGCAGTCACGTTAGTGTTTTATTAAGATTTTGGAATTATATTTGCAATTACATAAATATTCTTAACTACCAAGCCCAGCATCACTCGACCACCCTAATGGTATTTAAGTGCAACCTGCTGCATTACTTCATGCAGAAGTAAGCTGCTCATCCAACTACTTAAAGTCCATAATGAAAGGGTCTTCTTCCTTTTATGACGAGTCTTAAAATTATTTTCTGTATTTCTTTTTTGATTTGTTTTTCTTTCACTTTCTGTTTTTTCTCTTCTATGGTTTGTTGATTTAGTTTTCTTTTTTTCTTTGGTGTTTCCTTCTCTTTTCCTTTTCTTCTTTTTATCCTACCCATTATTCCTTTATTTTTATCCTACCCATTATTCCTTTATTTTTCTCCTATTCATTAATTTTCTCGCATCAGATTCTTCATATTTGTTCATAGAATGTATTCCAGGTCATTCTTGCTACTATATTCATAAATTGCTGCCTTGATTTTGTATTTAGAAGCTATTCCAATCTGTCTTGTATTTCTCTTGGAATGAGACCTTTAATTAGTATCTCTCTTATTTTGATTTTTTCTGTTTCTGTTTTCCCAAAGAGTGCTGTGTATAATATATATGGTAGGACTCAAATTTTTTCTTCTTCTTTTAACCCCTTCCAAGCTATTGCAATAATCACTTTTTAGATTCTTTTTCACAGATTTCTTTGTCTCTTACATGCTGCCAAATGTGTCTGTGTTTCTTTTGTTTTATCTTGGCACATTTGATACTCCGTTGTTGTATACACATCTGGTCTTCTTTTGTTAAGTTCTTCTAGGGTTAGAAGTTTATCCATTATGCATTTTATAAATACACTTCTCCTGACACTACTTCTTCTTGTTGTACAGTATACTCCTTTAGATATCTTCAGTCTATTCCAAAAGTATGTCCAATCA